AGTCGTTTTCCCTGAGCTGACAGCACTTTCTGACGTCCTACCCCTCCTTCGCCGCATTTGGAGGATATTGCAACACTATGACCCCACGGATGACCTCGTCCTCTACCAACAGGACATCGCCGGCTTCTTCAACTTCGTCACACACCCTCGTATGATCTCCACAGTCGAGTTTCTGATCACACGATACGCCGCTCTCCAAGGCTTGGATCTCCGGGACGATCAAGAACGCCTTCAACGCATCTTTCGTGGTCGATGGCGCAAGACTTCCCGCTCCTATCACCCCGTCCATCTTTGTGATCTACCAGCTTTGGTTTCTCACCTGTTGGACTCTTCCTACTTCACTGTGGGCCTCACCGTGTTTCGTCAATGTCAAGGAGCTTCTATGGGATCCCCTCTGGCCCCTGCCTTGCGCAGTGCTGTCGCACTTTTCCGCGAGTACTGCTTCCTACGCTCCTTCCCCACTTCCTCGTGGCGCTACGCTACAGGACTGGTCCTTCGGGCTCGATATGTCGACAACGTCTTCTTCCTTGGACCTACGCACATGCTACATACTGACTCCTTCAAGGCCATCGCTCAACCCTTCTTTTATGGCAGACCATTGGTGATGGAGTATGTCACGGATGAGACTCTACTTGGTTTCGTTCTCTCCACTTCTCAACGCACTATTACCTTTCGACAACCACCTCATCTCACACTGATCCGCAGCAATCGTACCGCCGGTTCTCCAGACATGGCACTCGCTGGATTCTTCACTCGGGGCATTTTGATCTGCCGCTTGACTCGTCCTCGCGAACTCATCTTTCCGCAACTCATTGACCTGACTCAACAATACCTCGACAAGGACTTTACCATGACCTAACTTCTACCACTCCTTCATCAACTTTGTCATCGTTTTCACCTACCGAGACCACCACTTCACGCACAATGTCGGTTTCTCACTTTCTCACCGGATGCAGCGCACGGGACTGATCTTCGCGTTAAAATGTTCTTGGTCCCCACCTCTTGACTTTCATTTATTTACTCCCATGCATTCCTTTCACTCTTACTTTTCTCACTTTACCAAAGTCTCGGCTCAAACACAATTTTCTCCCGTCCAATATCGCTCCTTCGCACATGTCTCATTCGACCACTTCGGACCTCGCCTCCACTATTGCGACCCAGCTGAACATCGTCATCGTCGCACTTCGTCTTTTGGTCGACATGATCCAAAATCCAGATGAGACATCACCACTGGTCATGACCCCAAGTTCCTTACGCGACCCTCTATGAGTTGGGCACCTTGTGAACATTCAGTACCTCCATCACATCAGACCTCTAGCGACCTTCATCGCCGGCTGACTATATGGATCCACCACAGTCGCCCACGTCATGAGCTGGGACACACACCTCCCCTCCCCTCCTCCTTTCTTCCCTGTCTCCCTTCCCCCTCCTCCCTCCCTCCCCTCCCTCGTCTCCCCCACCTGTTCACCCTCCTTCCCCTCCCCTTTCCCTTGCCGCTTCCTCTTCCCCTCCCCCTCTTTCCTTTCCTCCTTCCCCTGCACTCTCCCCTCCCGATTTTGCCTACCCGTTTCCCTCGGCTTGTGCTCTCCCACCCTCACCCTCCCCTTCCGGTTCCCTCGTTTCCTCTGCCCCTCGGGCTCCCCTCCCCTCCCACGTCCGCAAACGACGCTCACCCTCTCCGCCTCCCTCCCCCACCCCTTCCTCTCTTCCCGCCTCCCCTCGCCCTCCCTGTGACACCTCCTGGGATGATGATTGGAGCACCAAAGATGATGACCTTCTTCTCAGTCTCAAATGCAATGAACGACTTCGACCCAGTTGGCGGTGTATCACCAGCAAAATGCAGCGCCCTCAATCTCAGATCCGCGCTCGCTGGGCAGAACTTCTTGAACTACAGCGACTTGCCACTTCATGACGATCGTTTATGACCTACCTTTTCGCAGACTCACCTGCCCTACATACGTCGTAAAAGGGCCCTCCCCGACCTGAAAGTTTCTTTTTCTTTTTCCACTTTTTCTCTCATTTTACACATTTGTTTTATGTCTCCACATTTCCACTTACACCTGACCTTTTTCCTCCGCTATATTAGCCCCTCGGCTCAAATTTCGGTTTCACTGTCTTTCGTTCAAACTTTTGACGATTCCCATGTCCACTTCACCCACAACAAGTACCAGACGACCTCGCCCTTCCATGGCCTCTCACCTTCGGGACCTAGACGAACCTGTTCTCATCTCCACCACCTTCCCGAAGAAAGCTCGTCCGGCACAGCCTCCTATTTCACTGCGGACGACGTCTACCTCTCCGGATCTTTCGAGCACTCGCGCCCCTGCTACGGCAACACCATTTTCGAGTGACTCTACCCCGACTTCGACTCGTCCTCTGGTGGGACTACTTGTCAAGCTCAATGGCGAGGAGATACCTTTTCTCATTCCCCGACCGTCACTCCCCTTTCGACTACCTGAGGCTAAGCCTTAATTCACTCATTCACTTCGGTTTTCGTCCACTCTTCGCTTCCCGTTTGGAAAAAGCCCCGCTTGCTTTGTACATTTTGATCCTGCTCTTCTTCCAAGCCTCCCTCGAGCTGAAAATCAATACAATGAGGAGGACTATGCTCGCCAGGTTCACCATCCTGCCCATGGATCCTGGCCTGTTTCCGAACCATTTGAGGAATGGGCTTTGCCGCCATTGCGGTCGTGAACGTTTTTGGTTCTATCGCGCCTGGTTTCATCATCAGACCCTTCTTTGGGACAACCAGGACCTTGAATATTACAAATCAGCAACCGGTTATTTTATTGACACTCACCCCGCTTCCCACTGGCCCACGACACACTATCGAGTGTGGGGCACCCGGGGTTGGCAACTAGTACTTTCTGCCACACAAAGTCTCTTCATGTGGGAACAATGCGAACAATTCGAAGCTGAACTTCGCGCCGAAGCTGCACACAACCCCACCACTACACCAGTTCACCGTAGAGGCCCCTTCAGGGCAAACTTCTTCGAACGATCCCGTTATGAGCGGCACCGGACTCCCGCCTCCCCTACCTGATTCGGGATCTATGTCACTGAATTCCTCATCTACAGATTCTCAGCATACTTTGGATCCTCCGTTTCCTGCCGAAAGCGCCCAGGACTGATCATCATCATCCTCATTTCGACCTCATGTTGATGATGCCCAGCCTCTCAGGTCGAGGCCGTACGAGCTTCCCTGTACCTTTGGATCCCCTCCGCTACGATCCGGTGAAAAAATGCTCGCTATCCTTTTCGTTCTCTTCGCGGATGTTTTTCGGTTTCTTTTTTCTCTTGTTTTTCCTTGACACCACCTACATCTACACCTTTTTCCTCCGCAGCCGTTGGCTCTCACCACTTTCATATTCGCTTTCGTTCGCGATGATCTCTTCACCTGGTCTTCGTGTACCTGAACCTTTGACTCAAATGATCCCTACCTCACGCACCTCCTGGCGCGAGGTTCGTCAGCCTTTTGAAACTTTGGACATGGTTCCCGACCTCTCCACCGTCCGTTTCGAGATGGACATCAGTTTGCTCGTCTATCAACCACTCAACTACATCACAGTGACCCTTGACAGGCAGCAGATTGAAACTAAAGAGTACACGGTCGATGATCTCAAAGATGTGATCTACTCCCGCTTAGGCCAACACCGCACCGCATTTTGGATGGCACTCCCCTCTACCGGTGACTCACGAGTTTGGGAAGTTCCACACACTTGCACCCTCGAGGACCTCGTCCTCTACTATGTCAACTCTCGACGGATTCGTCCCTTGGGACTTGCCAATGAATATCCCCGTGAATCCACTCCTTTCCCCTATCGACCTCTCCACACTGTCGCTCCTCGATTACATGATGATGCCATTTGTCAACTCCGACTACCTCTGACCGCGTATCAAACCTATCGAGAGATTCGTCAATTTACCTAGTCTCACCCCACCTTTGGCGCGGAGCTTAAAGAAACCCTGCCTCCCCTCGGGGAGGCGTGTGTGTGTGTGTAACCCTTGGAATCACAGGGATCCTTTCAAATTGTTTTGTCTTTGTTTCTTCGTTTTGCAGCAGGGGGTAGCGGCAGATCACTTGGGACCGCTACCAACGAAGACGCCCAGTTGATTTGGTGAAATCAGAGTTGGCCACTCTGACGTACCTGCTTGAATTTTCAAACGGAATGGCACGAGGCTAAGCCCAGAACCTCAAGACATGGTGTTGCATAGGGCTTTGGTTTTGATTTGCAGATGTGAGCGGACGACGTCATTCTGTCGGTCGATCGTTCGGGGTTTCCTTTAGACTTTCTGGCCTCGCTGAACTTGATGGACCTCCACTTCTTCTTTTTAGGTTTCCTTACCTGTACCCTTAGGAATTGGAACCCTAGGCCCGCGTGTGGCACCGCTGTCAAGTCAGTACGCATATCCATAAGTGTGTGCCCGCACATCACAGCACATTGGTCAACTCACAGGTTTGGCAAGGATGATGAATGAAGCAATCAATCAAGTTTCAATTGCTGAGTGTTTCAAGCTGGATGAATTTCCCAAGCTCAAGCTTTTGCAATAACACGCTCAAATGCTCAGAAGAAGACACATTGTTGGCAAAATGACAAGAGAGCAGGGCCAAACGTGGTAAAAGATGTTCTCTACTGTGACAGGAACAAGCGGTCGTAAAAATCTTGCTCCAGGACAGGAGGCAAAAGCTAAAGCAGTCTGGAGCCTGTGCAGGTTGAAGGGTCAAGGATGGGAGTTGGAATCCATTCAAAGACAGGTTGCTGGGACAGCCTTCGCGGACTCAGGAAACCATAACCCGATTGCATGATGATGCCATGGTAGGAAGTGGCTCCTGCAGGGGTGACTACGTTGGCAACGGCCATTGGGGACCTCCTTTCCTTGTGCATTGCGAGGGCGCAACTGAGGGGGTATATTATTGGTAAGGGATGAGTGGGGATGTTTGAAGTTTGCACACTACTCAAACCACAGGGCATACAACATGTTTGCTTCCTCAGCTCATGACAACGTATGGATCCGTAAGTTCGCTTTCCGGGTCAACCTCAGCTCGTGCAGACAAATCAGTACAATACAAACCGAAGGTGACAAACCATCATTGAAACACCACAACAAATCTTTACCCTGGGTGACCGAACACCCACTGGATAGGAACACTTTGGAAAGCAATGTATATTTTGAATAACAGCTCACACATGTTTAGTTCTCACTGCAGTATATCAGGTAAACTCTCACAAAGCAGCTTGCCTCAACCAAAGCTCCGCTTTCCTCACCGGCCTCCAAGCTTTATGAAATGTGCAAGATAAAACATCATGCAAACACCAGGTATTGATCTGTGGCTGCTTGCCAAACAGCTCAAGAGCGTGCAGCATGCGTATCGACGGGTGCCTTCTTCTGCACACTGCGCAGTCGGTGATGGGTCACTACGGCACACTCCTGTCATCTTGTCATGGCTGATGAACCCTTAGCCTTAGACAGCCAAGTAAGTGATCAAAGGAAGGAAGGTCGCAGGTTGAAGGTCGAAGCTCCATCGTGCTCTGCCAGTCACCAGCCCCTCCTTTGCGAATCCATCCACATGCGTAGCTTCTTTGCTCAAAAAGCTCACCTGAACGAGCAAGTTCTATCACAGAAACGGAAAGCCACAACACAAAAACCTTCTCTCAGTCACTGCATCATCTACAGGCGCATTGTGATCCAGACAGGGATCAGCAAAGGAAAGTAGGCATTCTGGACGCCCATAGCCTGTCCGCACAAAATGCTAGCTCGACCTTCTGCTTGCCAAATCCGATTTGCTCGGTTGTCACTGTTTGTTAAACACATGAACACTGCCAAAGGGAATACATCCGGCTATCCAAGTTGAATTGGACAACAAAAATTATCGCGGCAGGTGAGTAAGCTTGTGAGTGCTAGATGAAGCAACAAATGCGAAGTGGCAAAACAACAAAACCGTGCAACTTCAACATCAACATACTGAGAGCCCCTGTGAAGCCACCAGAGCATCCACTTTAAGAAAAATCAACACCGTGCGACCCGGACCTGACTGCAAGCCCAAACAAGCTCGAAAAACAGGAAGCCCATGATACCCCAATGGAAAACAAAACACAACACCTGTATAGTATATACGTATATAATATATATATTTTTTTAAAGATACCCACAGAGGAAATCAAACTGGGATGGATCCGTGGCATCTGATGTCAGTTTTCTTCTTTCGGCTGGTGAAAAGAGGATGAGCTGTGAAGCACCTGCACCAAATGTGAACGCCACTTTTGTTCGTTCCAAGACACAAACTCTTGCAACTGGTCTTTACAGGCTGGAGCAGGCTACAAAGTCGTACACCAGAAATGGACAAGGTGCCTTTATCTCGGGATCTAGAAGCCGTTGGATACCTTCCCACCTGCAACAGCAAAAGAGACACTACAACAGTTTGCCTTTCCTTCTCCAACAAGGACTTGAATCATTGTTCCTCTGTAAACGAGACTTGAACCTGTCTGCTCTTGGTTGCCGGCACAGCAAAACCATTTGGCTTCAGTATTTTGCAGCCTCGCCTAGGTTTCATGGACAAAGCACCACGGGCTGCAGCAAAGACAAATGTTGGAACAGCAGCATGACGAAGCAGCTTGCTAATGCAACTGTGCTCCCCGCGAAGCATGTCCTACTTCTTACTTGCACAGGACAATGCTCTCGGGTATGTGTATGTTTCTCTCCAAGATCTTCTTTTGCAACCGGTCCTCTTCCACTCTTGATCAAGAGATCGGATTTCGTTGGGGTGCATCATTTCTCAGCTCCGATTTGCTCTTGTTTCCGTATCATGCCCGCCCAGCCCACTCAGTGTCTATTCGTCTTCAATTGACTTTGCTAAGCCGGCCAAGTCTACCCAACCATGTTTTGCACAAATTTGACATTGTAAAGGCTGCAGGTTTTTAGCGATATATTTTTTATTTTTAGTGGGATGTTTTTTTTGGGGGGGGTTGAGTCTTCTGATTCTGTTGCTTTAGACAGTTTCTCATTAGGTCTACTGGGTTTTTACGTGCTACTATTGGGTGTTTGAGCTAAGTGATCCCTCTACGTGCTGGTGGCCCATAGCATCCACCTTTGTGGGGTCTTCCACGGTTCATAGCTGGTTTGAAGTCGACTGTTCGCGGGAGGCCCAGGGTCAGATCGGAGCGTTTTGCTTCGATGTGCAGCAAAGCCTTTGAAGTGCAATTTCCTTCCTTCCTTCCTTCCTTCCTTCCTTCCTTGCTTCTCCGTCTCCTTCCTTCCTTCCTTCCTGCCTGCCTTCCTTCCTTCCTTCTTTCCTTCCTTCCAGAGCCCATAAAAGAAAAAAAACATCCCACCCCCCCAAAAAAATATATCCCACGGAAATATGCCCTCCCATTGTAAATGTTCACGATGTCAGCAGATTTGATAGGAAAGATAAGAAACATTGCAAGAAAACACAATCCTCCGATTTCACACTGCCATGCATAGAAGTGCGTACCCCTAATGCCCACATGTTTCTTGAGTGGGCCTGCATTTGAGCCTACTCTGTTTCGCTTTCTCGCCTCTCGTTCTCTCTCTTCCGGGTGGAAGCTGGATGTTGGGTATTTTGGATGCAAAAGGTTGGTTTTACTGAAGGGTGGCTTGCCAGCTCATGCAAATTGGATAGCAGGAGATATGTCCTGGAAGAGGAACCTAGCACAAAAGGCGAGTTTCCTAACATAGAAGGCTTTTTGAATAGCTCAAGACCATGGAAATCTGAAGCATTCTAACGCCAAATCTAAGGAAGCGGCACAGGTGACTCATCAATGAGATCTGCGGCTGCAATAACATCAAGGTACCATGAAGACCAGTCCTGTGACAAGGCAAGAACAAAGCGGACAATCTAAGGTTGACATGATCGAAAAGTGAAATATCACAGCTGTCTGCTCTCTGAACAAAGTCCTCTGCTCGAGGAGTTATCTTGAACTCAGGTTCTATGCTCTTCTTTTTCTTGGCCTTGCAAGACAAGGCTAGCAAGTCTCAAACTACAAACAATGCACGCAAAGCCAAAACGCTGTTCTCACCTGGGCTGCTACTCCTCGACGCTCGCCCCCTACAATCGCAGCATCACTACCATGTTTAAAGAAAAAGAATTAGCCAAGCTTCCTTTAAGAATGGGATTGAGCCATAGGATCTGCCCGCTGAGCACCTCACATTCGAACATGGCAGAAGTTTAAAAAAAAAATGTGAGTGCATTCACACTTGTAATTTTAAGTCCATAGGTCCATGTACACCTTGCGTGGCATGCATGCAAACAATCAGTACGTGTGTTTCCACGTTTCACCCTGGCCCCAGTGTTCTGCGAACCCTTGCCCAAAAAATGAATGCTGCATATTGAAAAGTGCACATACGTGCTATCAGCGAAAGGACAAAATGTATGTATCCATGAGACAGGCACAGGTTGTCAAAATCTATATCGCATGATTTGGGCAATGGAAACATCTCACAGTGTGAGGCGCCGTGTCACTGTAAGCCACTGGCGGATGCCAACAAGTAAAAAGGTGTTCTTCGCCAACCTGCCAAACACAAACACAAATATGAAATTATAACTGTCTGCTTGATCTTCTTCAGTTTGGCAGCAAACTGCCTCTCTTCAACCACATGTTTGCGTTTGTTCCTGTTGCTGGTCATTCATTCGCACACTTACCATCAGTTGCCGGATTGTCCAAAAACATGTCACTTGCCTCCTTTGGCGGACCTCATCACAGCTTTGGCTCAGATCGACATGCCGGTGCTGCAAGGATGACTTGCATGATCTACATGTTTTGCAATGGTTGCGTTATGTCAAAAAATGACCCGGAAAAATACTAAACTCAGAAAATGATATCAAAACAAATTAACAAATGCAAAACCCATACTAATATCAAGATCTCCCAAGCCAAAACAATCAATAGCGGGCAGTTTGCCGTTCCTTCCATGAACCCACATCAGCTACCTTCAACTCTGCTGTGTTTCTGTTAAGCGGTGTGAAAGCCCATGGAGTTTGCATTAGGCAAAGCACAAGTGACAAGTGTATATGTATGTCTTGCTCAAAAATCTTTTCGT